ACCGAACTTCTGAACCCCAGGCCTAGACAGACTAGAAACCCAACCTAGACTAGAAACCCGACGCCTCCAAGTCCTAGAATTATGCCAGACCCCTCCCAATAAAACCAACGGATGTCCAGTGCACTGCCTTCTGGTGCAAGGAATCGCGCAATCGCGCTCCATGGCCTGGAGTGGCCCGCGGTCGCCGGCGGAGGAGCATGATGCATTATTCAAGCTTCTGAAGTGGATATGGAAGGCCGCCACGAAGAATTTCCGCGTGCTGGAGGGCACCCGCAGGCCTACTACTACGCATTAATAGTCGTTTTAAAGGTTTTTACCGAGGGAGCACTATTGTAACAGCTGTACGTGTTTTTTGCTATCCGGCTTTAACTTGCCTCGATAATGTCAGTGTTCAGCCCCATGACATGCGCACAGGCCGACGGCATCACAGGTCCGAAAGGTCGTCAGCACATTCTCTGAAGCAACAGGCATCAAAGCAGATGTGACCCCGAAATCTTCTGATTCAAAACGCGGCAAAGCGAAGGCTGCCCCCAAGGGGCCTGCGAAAGCTGCTGCGCAGCCAAAGCGTCGAGCCGCCAAGGCAAAGGCGACGCCTAAGGCGGAGCCTAAAGCAAGCCTGAAGGTTAAGTCGGAGCCGAAAGTGCTGCCGAAACCGAAGCGTCAGCGTGTCAGCAGCTGAGAAAACAGAACCTGCTGTGTTGTGCAATGGAGCCACCTCTTGAATCTTAGAGAAAGGGGGGCGCCTCAAGGGGGGGCGCGTTACATGCCTGTGAAATGTGCCTAATTAACAGCCTATAGTTGTCCCATTTCATCTACACCGACGTAGAACCTCACTTCTCTTCTTGTTGACATTCTGCCATCATGCCTCCATCTACAACCTTGATCTCACGGGGGATGGAAAGCCACGTGGTGATGAAACGTCATGGTGCTAAGCCCAAAGCCTTGTAGGTGCTCATCAAGATCATCGCCATGGGGCCTGGCGTGTATTTCTGCGGATGCTTGGCTGCTGCATCCCGAGAGCAGTCGTGGGGTACGAGATCGATATAGGGAATAAAAGCTCCGCGCCGTATGGTAGGCTTGTGCAGCAGTGCGGCAACAACACGACAATCACCACCACCAACAACAACACTATCACCACCACCAGCAGAAGCAGCACCCCCACCGCCGCGAGCACCAGCAGCACCAGCACCGGCACCGGCACCAGCACCAGCATCACCACCGCCACCACCACCATCACCGACAACAACAACAACAGCAACAACAACTACTACTACGACAACAACAGCAACAGCAACAGCAGCAACGAAAGCAACAACAGCAACCACCGCAGCAACAACAACAGCAACAATAACAGCAACGACAACAACGTAAGGTAAACAGACGTACCTCTAATTAGTTCTACTGTTGCTACCGCGGCTACTAGCACTTCTAGTACGACTCCTACGCCTTTCATGGTCTATATTTACGGAGGTGCAAATATTACAGCTTTGTAGTCACCTTTGTTTGTTGTTCTCTGGCTGCTGCTTCCGCTGCAGCACATGGAATGGTCCCTACTATTTCAGAACACTGCTGCTACCTCGGTCACGCCAACATGGGTATAGCAACAGCCATGGAAATCGAAATCTTTGGCATCTTGTTACACTGTCAGTGTCCATCCAAGAGGTGCGAGGTAGCTCCAGCCGTTCCGAATCTGCAAGACATAATCTCCCAAATATTCAATGGCATGCAGTATAATGCAGGAACATCTTCGCATTATTCGGCTTCACCTACGCTACAGGTTGCTGTACCTTTTCGCAACTCAGAGCCGCGTATAAGAAATGCTCGATGTCTGCCTGCCGGCAAGCCTCAAGAGCTGAAAAAAAAACCACAGTTATGCTACTTTAAGGGATTTAATTTAAGTTACCATACTGGGGATCTATAGTAAATAATATGGTTTCCTTATTATGGTAACTTAAGTTAAATCCCTTAACAAGAACCCAGTACTTCATCCTACGTTTTTGTGAGTACCTCAACCCTCTTTCCCAACATCAGCATCGTGACCAGCATGCATGGGGATGGTGGCTTCCTTATTGCCCCAAGCCGATGCCGGTAGCGTTCTCACAATTCCACTTCCGACGGTTGCTAGTATCAGTACTTGTTGCTATCGTCAGGCTTACATCGCAACAGCCTATCTGGGAGTGTCCGAAAATAGGGGGCCCTAATATAGTACCCTAAATAGTAGGACCCTTATTATAAGGACCCCCCCCAAAATAAGGTACCCCTATTTTCGGAAACTCCCAACTAAGGAAAGGAGAGGTTCTGGAACATCTTTGACTTGGTACTTTCCTCCGGTGCGGCAGCCGAGATCGTTTACCAGGTTTGGGCCTCAGTCGCTGACGGACATGTAATTGTGGTTTGAATGTTTAAGTGTTTAAAGGGTTAATGCAGGGTTCGTTGAACACATGCAGTTTCAATAATCTGATATTCCCCCTTTTCGCTCTCCGTTGGAGCTATGCACACCCCATCATTTGTTCGCAGTATCAAGGGTTGTGTCAGTTGTGTCCTCTCAGCGAAGCATGTCTTTTCTTTTTTCTCCACGTGGCTTCTGAAGAGGCGAAACTCATAGGAAAGTGACCTTCCAGTCGCGACGAGGCTCCCCACGCTCAACCCCTTCCTTAAATACTTGCATGTGATATCACATCATGCGTCGAGAACTAACTGCTCAATGGCACGGTGGTGCTCCACAACCTTGCCGTCGGCACTAATTGAAACGCATCAAGAGTGCTGTTTGCAGCAAGTGTTTGTATGGCAGATGGCGATCTGTTTGTGCAGGCCCGTTCCCTCAGTCAAGATTTCATAATCGGGGATCCTGCCCACCCCTATAGAGCCAAAAGCAACCGTTGTGGGAGTTCGCACGACACCGGCGAAAGCCGACAATGCGTCCACCAGCGGCAACAGCATTCAGTAAGCCAGTAAGTGCCAGTAAGCGACGTCCTACGCCGCGGCTTGTTCCTGCTTCGATTTCTCTCCACGGTATGCGCGAATTCAGCGACGGTGCATCTCCTCCCATGCGTGCACGATCGACGGAAACAGTGAACTCAGTCCTGGTGAAACCCGGCCGAGCCGGAAAGCTGAACACTCCTACAGGCAAGAATAACGATGATACTAAGGCGAAGAGTATCAGTATCTACAGTAGTGGTCATAATGCAGTGATGTGATTATCAGGCTTGTAGTTGATATAAATTTCTGTAACATGGTAAAACTTGTAGACTGTATTCTAGTAACGGTACTAGTAGCAAGAACGACAGTAACACTCCTACACGGCTCCGTCCTCATGCCATCAAGAATCCAAGACCAAGAATCCCATCATGTACCATCCTTGATCCCTGCATTCGAGAGGTTGCTGTAGTTTCCCCATGTTCGAAAAAGGTGGCGATCCGGGGTGCGTCCACGCCAAGCCGAATCGCCCTGACGATTCGTGTGTTGCGCTTGGCAAGGGTGTCATTCTACATGCGCCTCATCAACACGCCGCTTGGCTGCAGGTAGTCCTCGTGAGCCCACGCATCTGCAAGCCATGCAGCTTTGGAGTACCGAAACCTTCCTGACGAGATTCGATCTAAGCGGTTACTTCGGCAAGGCTCATGCTGAGTCATGAACCCTCATCGCGGTCAATCTCATCTGCATTGGTCAACTACATAAGCAGCAGATGAGAGAAGCTGCCACTACTGACGTGCGGAATTTAGCTTCAGCATAGGGTCAGATAAAAAAACGACAGCACGAAGACTTCAGTCTTCTGAGAGACTAGACTGTCGTCGCTCTCATCCGTTTCGGAACTGACCTAGCGGTTTTGGGGAGCTGCACATAGACGTGCGGTGACCGGGGTGTTCGTGGCAGGTGTTTATCGGGTTCAGGGCTTCAGGGGTATTTGAAACTCAATGCGCAGCCACAGGCACGGCGCAGCGGCCCACTGTAGGAGACTGCTGCGCGGATTGACTGCGACCTACCCACCAAGGCATCCTTTTTTGGTATTTCCCCGAAAAGACTCGTAGACTTTAGCGATGAAGCGAAGCCGGACTAGGGAAGATCTGTCCCAAAGCTACTCACAAAGGCCACTCCTCACTGAGCTGTCCAACATCGTCCAGGGTTTCATCATCGCTGTCCCATCACTGCTCCTGGGCAGCAAGTGGCAATGCAGCAGCAAGCTAAGTTCGAGATGTCTCGGCAAGAAGCCTCAGCAGTCGGACTGTGCTTGATTGGCATGCGTACCGTCAGCCTCCTGCGCATCGACAAGCCAAACCGGTATTCCATCTCCTTCGGGTCCTGTGACAAGGTTCTGGGTCATGCTGACGCTCCTTGTCATTGTATATGTGAGCGCCTTGGGTGCCTGGTCTGCATGCAGTGTCCCATCCTTCACCATTTCCTCCAATCGCAGGCTCCAAGCACCTCAAGCACCCCCCAGCCTCAAAGCTACAGGGAAACCCGAACCTTCCAGGTACCTACTATATAGGGTACTGGAGCCCCTATTATAGGGCCCTATATGGTAGGTACCTGGGGGGGCTTAGGAAAGCTAAGGCATGCGTGCAGCCGTCGAGACCCTTGCCGAGGGGAGCGCGGCGTCACTCGAGGCAGCGGCCGGTCCATTAGTTGAGACTGAGAGCTCGGGTCCGAAGATGTTCGAACAATCCCTAACCCCACCACGTACCTACTATATAGGGTACTAGACCCCCAGGGCCCTATCTAGTATGTCCCACCTAGTCCCTACTTCGTCAGTTTTCCTGAGCATGCGAGTCGCGAAAAGCCGACAGCCTTTGTTTTACCACGCTGCGGTTTAGGTTCAAGATTTTAGCTTGAATGGAAGTTCACAAGCATCGTTACCACAAGATGATGAGAAATCCGGAGTTTGCTACGCCTAGAGTCGTTGGAGTGAGCTTTCTGGAACCGGGTTGTCTGCTGGCCGAAGATCTTAGGTTTAGCCGCCTGCCATTGTCGATCGTTCTGTGCAATCGAAACCCAGGCCTCTGAAACCCGAACTTGGCCAATGCTGCGGATCTTCTCGACGTTTGAAGCACCGGTTTCTTCCTGTTTTCTGAATATTCCAGAAGGAACCGATCATTTACAAGGAATCCTTTCGGCATCCATCCCTTCTAACAGAAATTGAAGGGACCGGAACTTTCAGGATTTGCCAGGCCCAGCATACCCCAAAGCTCACATTGAGACTCAGCCTTAGTTAGGCATTCTTTGCTTTCTTGGCGGAGGCTCCTCGAATCCACAGGGCTTCTTTGGGCCGTTAACCCTCACCATTCAGTGGTTTGCTCCCGCCAGTGCTTATAAACCCCGAATCCGTTGGAGTTTGGACAAGGTTAAGGGGGGGGGAACCAAAGGTGCAGGATGCTTCAGGCACTGGGCCCTCCAGCAAAGAGCAAAACCCTAAGATGGAAGGCCGAAAACCGGCAATCTCATGTGCTTTTCCGGGAGGTGTGCGGTCACCCAGACTCCTTGGATCCCTTTGTGGCGACACCGGCGGGATGCCCCACCATCAGCGAGATGCCCCACGGCCATGATATGGGAGTTTGCGAAAATTACTATCTAGGGTGCTATATGAAGGGTCCCTTATTTTCGGAAACCCCAAATGGAGACCGGTGTGTCGGGTTCAGGGGTCTGTGATGCCCTGCTACTGGGCCGTAGAGTTCAGTCCTGCCCAGTTCTACGTGGCGCTACAAAAGCACCCCAACTTCTAAGCTGAGGGTGAGCGTGAACTTGTCAGAAAGACACCGGGAAGCCATCTTGTTGACGTGGGGTGTGGGTTCTAAACCCTAAACCCTAAACCCTAAACCCCTAAACCCCTAAACCCTAAACCCTAAACTCCTGCAGCTGAAATTTCCCAACCCGGGATTGGAAAGGATTCAATCGGAGCTCTGAGACACCACCCTAAGGGTCCAAGTAGTCCTTATTTATGGTTTTAGGTACCCCAAAAGGCCCCAAAGTCCTTAAATAATGGGTACTTGGACCCTTAGGGCCAGATACAAGGTGCAGCCACCGAAGGGTTTCCCGCTTGTTCCCGCGTTGAGCTAACACGTGGCTTTCCGAAACCCGAAACAGTTCAGCAACTTTCTGAAGTGTAAGCTCTCACAGTCCGGAACCATTCAGGCAAGTTTGGAGGTTCAGAGGATATTTTTCAGATGATCTGGGTTACTGAGGCAAATCGTAAGCGTGCAAAGCATCTCAAGATCAGCTTGGGGAGGCAACTAGATGAGGGGCCGACATGAGTACCAGTACTATTTTGCACTTACCAAAACCCTATTCTAATTACTTAGGTCTCTATCTCATTCTGCCGAAGGCATTCGGATGTCTCGAGTCCTGAGTGATTTATTTCCCATACTTGCTGCTCGTGTCCGTTTGTCTTCTGTGCAGAGCCTGCAAACTAGCTGTCTTGAAAGAGCTTCTAGTGCGTTGATCCGCTTGGAAGAATTGCCGTGCCGGGCTCGTGACTGGTCAGAGAGCATGAACGTTCTTTAAGTGTCTAGCCATTGGTGTTCAACGAGTCCCAGCCCCAACTTAGTCACGCCTGCTAAGGTATGGCCGGCAATATTGTGGCTCCGTGCTTACATGCATGTTCACCATTTTCCGGTGCATGATCGGTGACTGCACCTCGACTGGCGGGAGGTCTTTGCCGCTTCTTGGTCGAATTAGGCAGCATTGCGAATCAGTTCACATTGCCTCGGATCTCTGTTTCGCTAACACGACTAATCATGTTATTCATGGTTGCTTGCAGTCGCATCGGTGTACTTCACTGAGGGAGCTGGACTTTTCTGGTGTTTCGGGCTACGGCGATGCATCGTGAATTTCACCCCAGTGTAAGCCTGGAGTAGCCTGATTCCTGTTAGAATAATCTTGCCCCGAGAACTGCCCAGGGCCGTTTGGAGTGATGGTTATGGATGGGCCTTTTACGTCTTCTACTCGTTCTGCATGGTTTGCACGATCTTCGGAATGTTCAACATCATCACGGGCAGCTTGTCAGCAAGTTATGTACACCCTGCAGAAACTAGTTACAAGTTTCAAGCTTTCGGCCAAGCAATGTGGTGGGGTTTGGGCGAGGATAATGGTGAGTGTGCGGCCAGGGCTGAGGGCAAGGATCAGGGTGTTCGCAACTCGATACTGAGTGAGTAGGTTAGAAGAATAATCAAAGTTTGGCGCAGTCCAAGAGCTCTCGAGGGTGCCCGACATTCGACCCATACATAGTCTCCACTTGTCGCTGTATGATGCCTTCGCTGTTCCGCCAACTCTTTCCAGAGCCGGGCAGGGGATCTCCTTGGCCCGTGTTGGTGCTTCACAGAAGAGTGGGCTGCGGCCGCTTTAACCAGAAATCTCATTCTATGTCTCGGACTCTAAGTTGGCACCTCGTACTTCACCCAGAGAGACAGAGAGAGAGAGAGAGAGAGATAGAGAGAGAGACTGAGGGAGAGAGAGAGAGAGAGAGAGACAGAGGGAATGAC